TTCAATTTAAAAAAAAAAAAAGGCAATATAATAATCAAGAAGTATAGTCTCAGAGTAAGTGTACAACAGAAAGTGGTTTCTATAATCACAGCTGTCTTAAAGTCTAGGCTGGAGACTAGAAATCTTAATTTCAACTAGTTCTTTTCTTAATAATAGGTTACCTTCCTATAAAAGCAAGAAGTCCATCTGCCCCAGGCAGATAAGTTTTGAAGCATTAATTCAGATAAAAATCTAGCATTTTCTTTCTTTCTTTGAGTATGTGAATTCTAGTGTGCTATAATGTGAGAATTCCAACATATGACCATTATGGCATAATATCTCATTGCTCAGCTTGCCATTATTTCATTTGTAATTCTTATGTTAATTATGTTCATAATTACTATAAACAGATGTGGTAGACATTCATGTGACCTTTTATTGCAGAATGCATTCCTCACTCATTTTGCTTTAATTTCTCATGTCTGTGAAACTGAAATGCAGAGAAAAAGAAAAAGGCTTTCTAATTTTCTAATGTTTTGTATACCTAAGTTAAAACAAAACCTACCTTCCACTCCATCTGCATTTCAAAATATTAGAATATTCTTAACATTTAAGCTGCCTTACAGCACATTTTTAAATGGCACACTGAACCTCACTGCTGCTAAATTGTAGCTATGGATGCCAAACAAAGGCTAGCATCCGTGTCTAAGTTGTTTGTCTTTTCTTTAATATCAAAGGTTAATGCAGCAGAATTGCGCTTCAAAACCAAGCGCCTAGCAGCTACATAGCGATTTATTCACTCATAACTCAACCATCACCCTCTTTACACAAAACACATTTACAATAAAATCAGTATGGATTTCATTAGCTGAAAACCTCCTCGAATTTCATTTCTTTGGCCCTAATCTATAATTAGTGTGGACAGACAGGTGCAAACCCTTCTCTTCTACAGATGGCTACTGGAAATGGTGCAAAGTAGCTCCTTCTGTTTAAACAACACAGAGATAACCTGCTCTGTCTTATCACTTACAATTACCTCCATTAAACTGAACTAATGTTTGCTTTAATAAAATGTTCACTGTTCTCTAAACATTATTTAGGAACTCTTATATTAATGGCCGTAAAAAAGCGAAGTTGGAAGGTGTCTCTTTAGATAATAATAACTTATTCTGGATAAAATGTTTCCATTGATGGATAATACTCTGAGTTTCACAAAGGTCTTTTAGTTGATTTAACATTTGCTATTTTGCTTACATAGGGTCAAATATGATATTTTTAAAAGGCATTTAGGTGACAAGTGATTTAACAAGTAAAGTGGGAGGAAACAACATTTTTGCTGAAGTTTAGAAGTATGAAAGGTTTAATTTCTTTCTTATAGATTTTAACTTGTTATTGAAGTATATCTCTTAAAATCCTAGATTGTTTTCAAAGGATATTTATGTTAACCTAATTTTACGTATTTAACTTCTGACAGATTGTTCTGAAAGCTGTATGAGTTCATCATTTTAAGGCACATTTTAAAAATTAAGTATGAATGTAAGTAAGCACATGGTTAAAAATAACTCCATTCCACAATAAATAACTTCTATAAAGCCAGAGATTCCTTCTCCCTGCTTCTGCTACTGATAAAGTCTGTGGATCACTACATGATGAATAAGGTGTCCATAAAACAAAGAACTTTTAAACGCCCAAACAGCAACAAATAAATAGCTTTTCTCACTGAACTTACATAACTTACAGTAATAGACTCCAGTAAAACGCAACTGGCTCGTTTTTTTCACATGCAAATCCTGCAGGTGCCAATTTTTCAGACTGCTTTGCTATGAAGGGCTATGTTGCCTGCATAAAACCTCAATGAAGAAGGCTTTGCATTCAGTGCCTGTCAGCTGATGTTCATATCAAAGAAGTGAGAAACATGATTTGACAGTGAAGAATGTCCTAAACTGACAACCACTGACCAGCATTCCTATTGGAAGTATTTCTTTCTTGAGATCCCTCTTCAACGTTAAAAAAAATTTTTTTGGCTAAGCTTCTATATTACAATAAAATAAATGATAATGGCACCTTACATTTGTGTAGCTCTTTGCAATTCACGAAGTGCTCTTTTATCTGCAAATATTTAGATTGATATCCTCGATGGGAGAGCACATCATTGAATCCTAGCATCAAGAACAATATTTTACTTTTCTACAGAAAGGAAAAATGGTAAAAATATTAAAAAGCTGCAGTCTTGTAGCTGCCACACATACTGTCCTACTATTTCCAGCAACTTCATATTTAATAGTGCAGTTTGCATTGTCTTGTAAGCAGAATGCTTATTAGAAGGTCCTTTAAGGATAATTTTAAAATCAAATTATTAGCAGGCATTAGTGGGTCACAGAGACTAAGTCTACAAAGGAAAACATCATTTCAAAGACTTCTCGTCTGCTTTGAGTTGTCCAAACATTAAAGAAAAAATAGACTGTTTTCTCAACTGCTTTTATTACGTATGAACTGGCCACTGGAGAAACTACATACTCAAATTCTCCCACTCACCATTTAGCTTTTCAAATAAAGTGACTGCTGTCTAAATGGTTTACAATAAAATTATTAAATGCTTAAACAAAGATTTTTAATATAAAGTTCTTCTCTTAGTATAATCTTAGAAAAGTCAGTTTTTATGCACCCAGAATGAGCCTGATGCCTTGGTTATTTGGTTGGAATTTTGTCTTTTGAAAGAATAAACCTAAGAAATATCAAATGCTAAATACAGAACAAGTTAGGCAATGATAGACTTGAACTTCCTCAACATCCACCCTGGCTGCAAAAAAAGCCTGGGTCAAACTAAAATTCCCTGATTAATACTGAGTGAGACTGTCAGATCTCTCTTAAAAAATAACAATCAGTAAAAAAAAAAAAAAAAAGAGAAAAAGCAATCAGATAGCCTATCTATGCTATCTGAAAGCCCCCATGATGTTAAAACTAGACTTTAAGGATAAACCAGGGGGGAAAAATCCATAGAATTATGAATTTGCTTCTATGTGTACACATTACAGCTGACATAAACACCGAGGTTGGGGCTATGATGGTTTAACAAACAATGGTGTTTGTTGACCTTTTCTAAGGAACTGTGTGACAGGAGAAAGTGGGCACAACACAATACTCAGATGGTCAAGGCAAAACGCTGCCATCAACTAAAAGGAGGCCCCCAACACTAACAAACCATTTATCACAGAGAAGCTGGTCAATTTGTATTCCAGTGAGTGTGGACTCACTGGGCACAGACCCAGCTCCACTCCCGTTCTGTGCAACGGGAGGGGTATGATAATAAGAAGCCACTGAGTGCACTTAAAAATGGTACAGATGTTTAAAAGGAGACTGGGAGGGGGAAAAACCCTGTAAAACAGATTTCAGCTCACACAGAGGGTAGAAAGAAAATGCTTTGGTCAGCAACCCGACCTTTATCAGGGGATAAATCAATTTGCAGCAGCTGTGGACAGCCATTTATATAAAGGCCCTGGGCAGATTAATTAAGGGAAGCGAAGTTAAAAATTCAAGGGGGCTCCGAGTTACATTAAGCACATGAAGTTGGACTGGAGCGGCCTCTCCAGCTCTCCTGGTCTTCACTCCGTCGCCCTGGCCTCGGTGAGCGCTCTGCAGAACCTCCTCTACCGGGAATACGAGCCATTCCTTACGGCGCCATTCTCCAGGTTCCCCCAGAAAGCGGCAGCCAGACTGCGGCGATGCGATTTGAGGCGCCCACTGAAAAAAGCTATGCTCAAAAGATTTCTCCACTGTGCTTTACGAGGAAGAAGGAGACCAAAGGCTGCAAGGCTCCCCAGCCAAATCCTCCAAACTGAAAGGCCTGGGGGCGGGGGACTATTTTTAGTAGCAGTCTTGGTTCACGTCCTACTTCCCGGAATCACAGTACTCAAACTTTTCCAAGGGTTGACCGCCCTTGGAAAGGAAAAAAAAAAGTTTCAAAAAATGGATTTAAGCTCCTTGTGCCGACACAACCGTATCTGCTTAAGGCATCCTGGCCAGCGCAGGGTCCGCCCCGGGAAAGGGGTCTGGGTGCGCCAACCAACCCAGTCCTTTCAGGTTCGCAGCGAGAGGGGTGGACTGCCGGGCCCGGGGCACTCCTCCACCGGACCAGGTTTCTGGAAAACGAAAGGAATTCCCCAGAGCCCTCTGGGCTCCGCCGGGGGGGATCTGCAGGGCACAAGGCTCTGCTCCCCGCTCAGGAGAGGCGGGCGCCGAGTCGGGGCTGCGACGGGAACCCCCAGGGAGCCGGGGCGGTGGGGCCCCGGGGGCGCGGAGGTCGGGGCGGGAGCGACGCTGCCCACCGACCCCCGGCGGCAAAGCCCCGGACGGTACCGGGCGAGAGACGCCCCTGTCCGGAGCCACCCACAGGCACTCAGGGGACCGCCGCCCGCGCGTCCGGGGGCTTCTCACTCGAGCACCCCAAACGCCCCAAGAGTAACAGCGAAAGTTCGCGGGCGGGCGCAGAGCGCCTGGGTGCCGCCAAGAGGACCCCGATCCCAGTCGCAGCCGGGTCCCAAAGTTAAGATTCCGCCTCTCTTGCTCCTAGAGCTAAGTTTTCCACAAGCGAAACGAGCCTCTCCCTTCCAGTTTAAAAACCCCAGGATGCGGGTTTAGGGCCACCTGCCAGACGCACCGTGGGCACCTTCACCAGTTGTTCTGCCGGGCAGAAAATACATGCAGCGCCTTCCTGCTCACATATCGTGATCATGGAGAGGAAAGAAAAATTACTGTAAAAAGACAGTGCGGGGAAGCTAAGAGTCAAAATCGCATCCTCGGTTGACCCATGAAGTTCAGTGTCATCGCAGACTGGAGTCACCCGGGATGTTCCTCTTTGCCCCGGTGCGTGGTTCTACCCTAGTTGAGCGACAAATGGAGCCCGAAGCCTCTCCGCCGAATAACCCAAATGAAGACGACGGTCATCAGAATAATTAATAGCAATAGCCAAGGGCCCGTCCCCGCCGCCCGCCCGCCGGCCCAGCCCTCCCGCGGGCACTTACACTGCACAGGGCCGGAGAGTCCCACCATCCGCCACGGGCTCGGAGCTGCAAATAAAACTTCCCGTCTTCTCCGCCGGCCCGCGGGGCGAGGGCGCGAGGGCGCGGCGCAGCTTCCCCCGCGAGGCCAGAGTGTCCGCGGCCGCTCGCCCACGCGCGCTCGCCACGAGGCCGCGGAGTCGCTCCACGAGGCGCCCACGGCCGCCCGGCGCTGCACACAGCGAACTGCGGTGCAAAAAGCCCGGGGTCGGGGATGCCAGCCACACGCAGCCTCCACGCAGAACCCAAGAATTGCGGAGCTCCGCTCCCCTCCTCCCGCCTCCCTCCCTCCCTCCCTCCCTCCGCTTTTCTGTTGCTGCTGTGGCAGACAAATGTGATGTGGGGCGCAGGGAATTGCCACTGTCACAAGCGGCGTCTGCGTCTGCCTCGCCCGCCCTCGCTCACTCTCGAGGAAGGCGACGCATTTATCTGCAGGGTGGCCGGGCGTCCGCCGGGGAGCAGGAGCGCCGCGCGCTGTGCGCCGAGAGCGCCCGCACCAGGCCGGCTCCGGCGCGCGC